TATCCAGTATAAATAAAAGTTAGTTTAGTTTAGGTTTCCTCCTGTGGTAACACTGGATCAATAAGCGACTAGCCTTACTGGACCTCTAGGAAGAACAGTTTAGAACTGATAGAGCTATCCAGTATAAATAAAAGTTAGTTTAGTTTAGGTTTCCTCCTGTAGTAACACTGGATCAATAAGAGATGATCCTTACTGGACCTCTATAGGAAGAACAGTTTAGAACTGATAGAGCTATCCAGTATAAATAAAGTTAGTTTAGTTTAGGTTTCCTCCTGTAGTAACACTGGATCAATAAGAGATGATCCTTACTGGACCTCTAGGAAGAACAGTTTAGAACTGATAGAGCTATCCAGTATCAATAAAGTTAGTTTAGTTTAGGTTTCCTCCTGTAGTAACACTGGTCAAACAATAATTAGAGATTATCCTTACTGGACCTCTAAGGAGAACAGTTTAATACTGATAGAGTTATCCAGTATAAATAAAGTTAGGCTAGTTTAGGTTTCCTCCTGCAGTAACACTAGATCGATAAGAGATTATCCTTAGCGGACCTCTAGGGAGAATCAGCAAATGGGAAAAATGCATTGTTACCTTTCTAAAAGACTTCGCTTCTCGTCATGGTTGTTCTCAATGGTCGCTTCAAGCACTGAATTAAAAAACAAAATATTTTAATATTATTATTATTTGAGCTACAGAGGCCAGTTACTGAGCATTGATCTAGTATTTATGTATCGATATTCACCGATAAACATGTGTTGCTCAGGGACGCCGAGGGGGGGGGGGGCAAATTGCGCCGGGCCCCACCTTGATAGGGCCCCAACTTGAGAGCCAGAGCCTAAAATTGAGTAGGTTCTTTAAATTGGTCAGAACATTTTTGAAATTGAGGGCCCCTTACAGTACCTCCACATGCAATCAAGCTAAGGTCCAGTTGGGTAATTAACTTGGGTCTAGCTTAAAAATGATGTCATAGGGCCCCCAGAGAAGATTTGCCCCGGATCCCGCGAATTCTCTCGGTGGTCCTGGTGTGAGTTGACCCATCATTACCTGCCATCTCGCCTTTCAATTCAAAATGTTGCGTCTCCTTCTGTTTCACTAAATCTTCAAGACCTTTCATTTTCTCCTCGCATTTAGCGACGTCATTCCTGGCCGATACGAGATTCTCATTGGCCGCTGCAAGTTTCGTATTCAGCCTCGACTCCGTGTCGTCGAGTTTCAATTTCAACTGTTCCCCAGTCTCTCTCTCGCTTTTCTACCAAAGAAACAAAAAATGTTTAATTACAGGCTGTTTATAGTATATTTCAAAATAAGATTTCCGTTTTTATAACGTAGAAAAAACTATCCTAACGCAAAACTAAACCCTAACCCTAATACTAACCCTCACCCTAACCCCAATCTAACCCTAACCTAAACCCTAACCTAACCCTAACTTATTTTATAAATTGTGTAAAAACGGAAACCTTATTTTGAAGTATACTATCTAGCAATTATATGGGGCAAGCTAGCCCTGGTACCCAAGCTGGCCCAGTTTAAGCGAGATCCCGCCTTTATTATTTCCTACTAAATTTCATTTTGAGTTTATATGCGAACCCAGCTAGCCCCCCTAAGCGAGATCCCAGCTCGACTGACCCGAGATCTCGGGTAACAGGGTTGGGTATTTTCGATATAAATGCCATGACCTGGGCTGGCTCGCCTAAGCGGGTTGAGTGTTATTGCTATGTTCACACGAATATACGGTTGTAAATAAGATTTCCTGGACAGACTTCGATCTTAAAAGGTCTCAATTAACTTCATTTATCGTACCAATTTTTCCGATAAATTGTCCATCTCAGTTTTCAGGATATTTTGAGCTCTTTTTCCAGCTTCCTTATTGTCTTCTAAATCTTCTTTGGCCTGCAGTAGAATAAAAACAAATCACCCTAACCGAACTCCAACAAACAATATATAGCCTTAATCATAACCAAGCCCTAATAAAGTCCCTTTACTTTAGGACGAGGTTAACCTTATTTGTGGAGTTTTCTAAAAATGCAACTAAACCTTAGCTAAGCTTGTCTCCAAGGTTTCGAGTTGGTTTGCAACTTCAAGTTTTTTGCCAATCAACATCTTTTCTTTCTCGTTCATTTCGTCCACTGCCTGAATTGAGAAAATAAATATTTACAATACAATTGTGGCCCGTTTTTATGTAAATTCAGACAGTTATTTTCCGGTAAAGATTTTTGATTGATTGATTAACATCTTTATTTAAAACACGAGATCCATTTCACAAGTTAGAATATGTGCTCTTCAATGGAGACGTGTACATATGAAGGATTTTACAAACTTTTTCTCTATGTATTCTTTCATTCTCCACGTCTTTTTCTAATGAGGAGATTTGGGTTTCAAGATTAATTCTGAAAAAAAAATTCACCAAGTTATTTTCACTGACAAAGAAAAATTATGTTTTAAAACCATGGACTTAACAGACTTGTTACAAGCTGTTCCAACAAGTTGTTATCGTCCTCCAATTCAACAATTTGTCAACAAGTTGTGAGTGACAACCTTGTAGCAACTTGATACATTGACAACATTGTTACAGTTTAGAAGTGATAGAGCTATGCAAGTATAAATAAAGTTAGTTTAGTTTAGGTTTCTTCCTGTAGTAACATTAGATCAATAAGAGATGATCCTTACTGGACCTCTAGGAAGAACAGTTTAGAACTGATAGAGCTATCCGGTATAAATAAAGTTAGTTTAGTTTAGGTTTCCACCTAGTAACACTGGATCAATAAGAGATGATCCTTACTGAACCTCTAGGAAGAACAGTTTAGAACTGATAGAGCTATCCAGTATATATAAAGTTAGTTTAGTTTAGGTTTCCTCCTGTAGTAACACTGGATCAATAAGAGATGATCTTTACTGGACCTCTAGGAAGAACAGTTTAGTACTGATAGAGCTATCCAGTATAAATAAAGTTAGTTTAGTTTAGTTTTCCTCCTGTAGTAACACTGGATCAATAAGTGATGATCCTTACTGGACCTCTAGGAAGAACAGTTTAGTACTGATAGAGCTATCCAGAATAAATAAGTTTAGTTTAGGTTTCTTCCTGTAGTAACACTGGATCAATAAGAGATGACTCTTACTGACCCTATAGGAAGAACACTTTAGAACAAATAGAGCTATCTAGAATTAATTAATGCTATGTTTAGTTGCACAAAGTAAAACACAAAAAAAAAGCAGCAATGCATCAATCGGCAAACTTACTTAACTTGCTCCATTTCTTTCAATTCGTTTTCTTTTAATTTCAACTTTTCTTCCAGGTTTTCCTGTAAAAAGTTTTATTTGAGAATCCTTTTTAGCGATACGCAAAACCCTTTTATTGGATGAGCGGTCTGAAATTCTTACATTCTGCTTCATAATCTGGTCTTGCGCAGTTTTTGCCTCTTCCAATTTGCTGTTTCTTTCTGTAACTTTATTTTCCACAGCCGTTTTCTCCTGGGGAATAATTCACACATTTGATCAATTCATGACAATAGATAATATACACACGTAAAAGGCACAAGTTGTTACAAATCTGTTCACAAGCTGTTGACAAGTTGTGTTCGCACTGCTTGTTCCCAGTTGTTGTAACAAGTTTAGAACAAGCTGTTAACAACTTGTCACAAGCTTGATGACATTATCAGACTTGTTACAAGGTTGTTCTAACAAGTCTGATACAGTCATGATATAACAAGAATGTTACAAGGTTGACGACATAAGGTTGTAACAATGTCAGGGGCGTCGGAACCGGGGGGGGCTGCCTCCCCCCACTTTTTTAGTTGGGGGCCTAAATGTCTTTGCCCCCCCCCCCCACTTTTTAACAATGGTCAGTTATATACCACAAAGTTAATTGATATTATTTCAGTTAGGCGTGTAGACAAAACAATTTGAGATATTTTATGACATCTTGTTACCTTTAGAACTCTGTAAATCTCCTTCTGAAGTGCAGAAAATGACATTTCAGGGACTCGGGCATGCCCCCCGACCTCCCTTGAAGGTCACCCGCCTTCGGCGGGCGCCAAGTGTGCCCCCCCCCCTCACTTTTAGAGCCGCTCCGACGCCCCTGAACAATATTTTTATATAACTTATATCATGACTGTATCGGACTTGTTGGAACAACCTCGCAACAAGTCCCAAACTTGTTGACAACTTGGGACAAGCAGTGC